CTCATTGTAGTTCTCGAATATTTCTTAATAGCTGATTTTCTGAGCGAAATAATGAATATATGTATAATACCACAAATGTAGACATCATGCGACGTTAAATCCGGTGAATAAGTTGGATACTTTAAATTAATATTAAAAATAATAGACTAAAAGCATGGGACATTTTTAATGGGTCATTTGACCCAGCATGAATCACATATAAATCAATATTACAATATGTAATAACAACTTTAGAAACTATGCCGCCAATTCTTATCGGTACACAAAGTATTGGGGTTCAAATTAAGGGTTGAGCCTTAGATTTCTCTCCCCTGTCCCAGCCAAAATGTACGGCGTTGCAAAAAATTAATTTATATACCAATTCGAAACTTTGTATATGAATGTCGTACTGTGTCAAATTACCAAAAATGGTGAGAAAGTTTTCTCCCAATGGGAGAAAAATGTTTGACCTAAAAAACTTACCCCCTTGAGCGGTAAATTTATCTTATCTGTGATTCACATGTACCGATAAAAATTGACGGCATAGTTTCTAAAGTTGTTATTACATATTGTAGTATTGTTTTATGTGTGATTCATGCTGGATCAAATGACCCATTAAAAATCTCCCATGGGCTTGTAGACTATAAATATTATCTGTTGTAAATTTTACTTGATAGTCGAGAGAAACAAATATGTGTTACGTGGCTATGACTTATGCCTACCTAACTGCAATGTTCTGTTGAAGACAATAGAAAAAATTCTTGATAGGCATATTCAGGAGGGCCATTGAGGGTCAATGGCAACCAGCATGCATATCAAGAAGGAAAATCAACAAAAACAACACTGGGCGAAGTAGTTCTTCTTCATGTACCATGTCCTTTCAGAAGGCAATAGCATGCTTGTATCAACACCATACCAATCCCGCAAGTTCTTCAACCATGAGGTTCTTCTTCGTCTTAGACTGCGTTTGCCTGCTATTTTTACTTGCATGATATTTTGTAGCAACCTATATTTGGGACCTCTCATTACATGTCCAGAAATACTCCAGCTTTCTCTGCTTGGTGCTTTTTATGATCTAGTCTTGCTGAGACATTCTAGTAATGTGGAGTTTCAAATCTTCTCCACCCAGGAAACTTTTAAAATTCTTCTATAGCACCACATTTCGAAAACCTCAAGGCGATTTAGATCAATTTTATTCACAATCCAGGACTCGACACCACAAAGTAAGACTGAGAACACGTAGCAACGAAGTAGAAGGATCTTCAATGCCAATTTTAGGTCTCTGTTACATAACACCTGGACATCCTTCTAAAAGCAACTCTAGCCTGCTCTATCCTAGATCTACTTTCGCCGTGACCTTCTGCGTTACAATTTCATTGCTGTTTAAGGTAAACGATTTTATCAACTTGCTCAAGTATGGTATTATTTACATATATAGACGGTTTTATATGCTGTTGTTTACTTATTACGAGTATTTTGGTTTTCTGTATGTTCAGATCCAGACCTGCCTCCTTACAACTCTCAACGACACTATCAAGTAGTGTTTGCAGATCTTCTTGGCTAGAAGCTAGTAGTACTTTATCGTAGGCATATTGCAAATTATTGATGACTTCACAGTTCACAAGTATTCCTTCTTGTTTTTCAGAAAGTGCATTTCTGAAAATTCTTTCGAAGTAAATGTTCAAAAGCAGAGGTGACAAGAGGCATCCCTGCCGTACTCCTCCTTTATTATTGAGATCCTGTGATTCCACACCATCTACTAAAACTGATGCTTGATTCCAATATAAATTTACAGTTATTCTAACATCTCTGCTGTCCAAGCCAATGTCTTTTAGAGCTTCGATCAATATAGAGTGCTTAACAAGATCAAATGCCTTTTGGAAGTCAATAAAACAAAATGTATATGTCTACAGATATATCTTGATATTTTTGACCAAGTACGTTCATTCCATACAGTGCCTCTCTCGTTCCAAACCCGTTACAGAGACCAAACTGAGTGTCATCCAGGTATTCCTCGCATTTATTGTAGATTCAAACATGTATCACCTTTAGAAAAATTTTCAATAAGCGGTTTAACAAACTGATGGTTGTATAATCAGCAAAGTTTTTTGCTGTTGTTTTCTTAGGTAAAGCTATAAACAGTGAATTAGACCAACCATTAGGTAGTTGTCCGCTGGTATAAATGGTATTGAAAAACGAAGTTATAGCCTCTAAAACATTGCTATCATTTATAAACTTGTATATTTCAGTTGGAATTTCATCAGGACCAGTCGCTCTACCATCTTTTGATGATTGTATGGCTTTTATAACCTCAGAGCGTGTTATTAGGGGTCTGTAGCAGTTAGTAATATCAGGAGGTAAACTACTATCGTCTTAGAATAGGTTCGTGACATAATTTTTCCATTCTTAAAGTTTGTCCTCTACTTCAAATATTAATTTACCATGTTCATCCTGTAGCAATGCAGTTTGTTTCTTATTGAAGTTACTTCACTTTTTTATATATGTTAAACATGTGGTATCTGTTTTCAAGTTCTTCAATGTCATGACACTGTTTGGCTTGATGTTGACTCTTTGCCGTATTTTACGTCGAATTTCTTTTTGTATACTATTGTAAAGTGTTTCGTTGTTTTTTGCTTTTCATTGTTTTTTCGAAGTAGTTCGGAAAATCAATCAATCCATAATAATGGAGAGATTGCGTTAACCGCCTTTCTACAACAAAAGGGTTATCAACTGCTGTATGCAACTGGATCAAAACAATGCTGGGAGATTCTAACAGACCTGCAAGGAGAGGAGGTTGTAGCCAAAACAGCTATGGGGCTGTGCTCACAGAGGGGAGTGTTTTCACCCCTCCTGTGGCCACTACTACTGGATGACCTAATCTTGCTCCTTGACACATAGCAGGTAGAAGTGCAGGCCTATGCAGATGATCTAGTAATTATGGAAAGAGGAAAATACACCGTTTACCATCGTCTTTCTAAGAAGGGACGAATGGGAGTTGAATAAAATGAATCTCATATTGGTAGATTAGTGCTGCTACAAAGGGGGCTTTAAACCAATGTTAAACTTGATGAAATCTTAAATGGGTCTGCTATCTTCCAAGCGGAAATTTATGCTATAAAGATGTATCTCCAGGAACTAATAAAGAACTGCAGGGACAAATCTATAAACACTATATCGGATAGCCTGGTGGCATTTAAAGTACTGGAATCGAGTAGAATTGACTCCAAGTTTGATTGGTCGAAGAGTCTGCAGAATCTAATTTGAAACAGAAAAAGTAATAAAGTAAGTTTACTCTGGGTGGCTGGATATAGTGATATTGAAATAGATTTCTGGGTATATTCATACAGCTAATAATTCCATTTAAATTGTCACCAATTGAATAATAAGTATATTTGAAGTCAATTAATGATACAACTTAAAATTTAAATAATTTCTAGCCTTTATCAATAGTTTTGTAAAATAAAATGAGCAAAATTGTTAAAAAATTTGAAGATTGTGTTATATCAATATGTAGGTATATAACCACTTAGTTTGCAACTGTAGAGATTCATCAGGAATTAAAACCCTGTATTTAAACTTGTTAACTCTAATTTTATTTTACTAAACCTTAATCTCTACATTATTTTTAATATGTATATAAAATATTATATTTCCGTATTTTGGTATAATTGCATTGTTACTAGTTTCTAGCGGCAAAGGGGTAAAGTGTTAAAGGTGTATGTTTCTACTTTAATAAATATAATATAATATCGTGAAATACGACTTACCTTTGTATAAATACATGATATTAAAAAACATTAACTCACAAGTTTACAAACAAAATTCCTTTAAAACTATGAAAGCTACAGTTACGTCTCCTTTTTAAGAGCTCATTTCATAGCATACAAAATACACCTCAAACGTCAAAACAACAACTAAAAAAGCAAAACCGCAAAACATGCGCAAAACCAAAACCACAAAATTTGACATTTGATAGAGAATATATCAGTTCTACCAACTATATTTAATTACTTCTGTTGCTGGATAAAAGTTTTAATCGATTTAAAAGTCGATTAATCAATCATTTCATGAGAAATTTCAGTAGAAAATCCTTTATCAATTATATATTATTTGTTTATTTGTTTCTTTGTATGAGCAGTCAATTTTTCAATTTTATCTCATTCAATTCAGTCGATTTAAAATTAGTTAAATAGGCGTACATCCATTGAGAAAATCGCAAAAGATTTACCTTAAAAAGATATGTAGCTCAAAAATGTAACAGTGAGCAAAAGTTTAATGAACCATAAAAATTAAATGGTTTATGCCTGGTTGCACCAATAGATCTTAAGCTCCAGCTTAGCCCAGCTCTGCTTATAGCTAGGGCTGCCTTAACTCTCACTTACGTTGCACCATAATTTTCGATTCTAAAATATTCTTTATATTCTTAAAAATAAAAATACAAAATTTGGTTGATCGCCGTCGGACGGTTGGTCGTGGTCGGTCGATCAGTCTGAGCTGAGACCTATCTAAGGCACCTCTTAAGCTTAAGATATGTTGGTGCAACCAGGCATTAGTTCTTTATGAGAAAAAAATAGAACCAAGTCAGTTTTGTAATTTTCGCTATAGTTGTATCACTGAATAAGAAAGCAATTGTTATTTGTTCTGAGGTTGTATGCTCATTTAAGTAGCTTTAGATGCACTGATGATGAACTCAGACGTCTTCAGTAAAGGATGAAGTAGCAAGTATCCTTTCTTTTTTTTTTCTCCAAATTTTGACCAAGAACCTTCCACTATCATAGTGAAAAACTACATATATGTTATCTAAAATTACGATAGTATTTTTTTCCCATATATATTTTAATCAATTTATAATATATTTTTTATAATGAATTTATGTATATGAAAATCTGAAAAATTTTATGTGCGGACCTTGAAATCGACAATAGTTCTGATCGTTGCCTTCCTTCTCGATTGCTCCCCTCCCTTTAATCTTTCCTCCTTCCTGTCAACGAAAAGCGGTTTGATCTGCAATAACAAAAGCCGAAAAAGGTATTTTGCGTTATCTAAGACATCTTTATTTAATATAGCGTTTTATTTGTCAAAGTAGGTTTTGCAGATGCATCTATTTTACCCAATATTAACATTTTTAAACAAACTATTGTTTGTTACCGTATATGATGATGATATCGTTCCAAGGTTTCGCAACTTCTAATGACATTTTATGAATTAACTCTTGGCAGGCTGACACTTTTTTATATATCAAACATTCAATGTTCTTTTGCATGAAGTGTATTAATATTACTTTTAATTCGTAGTTATAAAGAATGCCAGAAATGACTGAAGTAGACAAAACCGTGGTTTCAGAGGTAAAACCTGAACAAAGTGAATCCTCAACAGACAGTGACTCAGATGAAGACATCCCTGAATTGGAAGATGCTGGAACTGCAAGCGCAGCTTCAGCTACATTCCCTGGAGCTGCCGCTGCTGGTTTGCCCATGGATATGGTTTCCAAGGCCAAACAGTCTAGAGGAGAGAAAAAAGCAAGAAAAATTATGTCCAAATTGGGTCTTAAACCTGTAAGTATTACTGTGGGTACTGCATAGCTGAACACAAGCTTGAGAAAGTTGAGAAGATTTATTTAAGGCATGTTTCATCTATTTGAATGAATATTTATTTGTAGTTATTATATAAATAACTCTTTGTTATTGCTATTTTATGGACTTTATGGTCATCAAACTTTTGGTTGATCTATTAGTTGTCACATTGTGACTGGCTGATTGACATCTAGTCTATGCCATTAAAAAACATTGATATAAATTTTAGTTCAGTAAATTGGAACATATACAACTGAGTCACACAAATTAAGCATTATTTTCAAATGTTAGCTTATGAATTCTCTTGGGAGGCTAACATTTCTAATTGATTGTTAAAAAATAAGAAAAGTATGTTCAAAAAATATGGATATATGTATATTCATCAAGAAGACATGCAAGCATTTTCCCTATCAACATTCTCAATTATTTACAAACATTCATCCGTAGATACCATGTTACAGCAATATCTAGAAATTCAAATTCCTATAAAATAAATTTGTACCATGGCACAACTTAAAACATCTAATTGCTGTGTTAAAATTTATCTATAATGGTATATCATATTATATTCAACCATCTCAAATTTGTACTATTTGTAACACAAAACAGTTTGAACATTTACTATTTGAATGTCCCATTTACAGTTCAATGAAGCCTGTTAATATGGCCCACCTTAACAATCGTATTGACTTTATTGGTTGTCTTAAGGATTTCACTATAATGTCTGTAAAAGCGATTTCAATACATATTTGGAATATCGTAAAACTAAGATCTTTTGTTGTAAATGAATAAGCTTTAGTTTCTCATTTATTTAGTTGATGTTTACTAAATCTGCTCCCTATTTTATTTAGTAAGAGTTCTTTGTTACATTTGTTAATCATATATACTAGACTAGTTGCCATAAATTGTATTTCTAAACTCATTGTTATAAAACTGTATTTTAAAAATAATAGTGTGTATCTCTCTGTGGTCCCTGTGTTACCTGAATTTATTATACAATATGAACTTGGGTGTCAAAAGGGACATACAGTAAAATCCAACTTTTCCACAAGCATATATGAATTTGATCATGTTTTGCTTACTAAGAATTGGATACAACTAAAATATTTTGATTGTTTCATATTATTGTTCATGTAATTTAATCACTACTATTTTTGCATAAAACCCATTTTATGGTTACAAGTAAGGTTTGCTTGTATACTTTGCAAAATAAAATTTTGTAAAAAATT